CCCCCACCACTCTGTGATTCTGTGACTCCACTAGACACAGACCTCCAGCTAGACTCTGTGGTACCTGCAGGCATGTCCACACGGGCAGGTGGGTGCTCCACCTTGGTGGGAATCCACGGGGGCTCGGGCTGTGTGACCACGTGCCCACAGCAGTGTGGTTGGTAGCTGAAGTACAGTACTGCGGGCACGACCCCGTGGCAGCCCCCAGTTTGGACACAACTTGCTTGTGTCTGTCTGAACCTCCACCTGAGAAAGGGGTACAGGTGAGACCTCACCTGGAATACTGTGTCCAGGTTTGGAGCCCTCAACACAAGAAGGACATGTACCTGTTGGAGCCAGTGCAGAGAAGGCCACCAGGATGATGCGAGGGCTGGAGCAGCTCTGCTGTGAGGACAGGCTGAGAGAGTTGGGGCTGTTCAGCCTGGAGAAGAGAAGGCTCTGGGGAGACCTTCTAGTGGCCTCCCAGTACCTGAAGGGGCCTCTAAGAAAGCTGGGGAAGAACTGTTCACAAGGGCGGGGAGCAATAGGACCAGGGGTGATGGTTCTAAACTGGAAAAGGTTGATTTAGGTTGGATATCAGGAAAAAGTTCTTCAATATGAGGGGGGGGGATCATTGGAACAGGTTGCCCAGAGATGTAGTAGAGGCCCCGTCCCTGCAGATGTCCAAGGCCAGGTTGGATGAGGCTCTGAGCAACCTGCTGTAGTGCAGATGTCCCTGCTCGCTAGCAGGGGTGGGGTTGGACTAGATGACCTTTGAAGGTCCCTTCCCACCCAGACCATTCCATGATTCGATGATCCTGCAGGGTCAGGCTTTCCCCAGTGCTCTCCAGCGGCGCGGTGGGCACAGGAGGCTCCTGGGAACAGCTGCTTGCTTCAGCCACAGCCACATCTCGTTGATCTCAGAACTCCCTTCACAACCATTTCTTGGGCTCCTGATGAACCAGCAGGGCCGTGTCTCTGTGTGGTTCTGCTGTCCCCTGGGAGAGCTCCCTTTCTGCCTCACTCAAGATTAGGGATTTTGGTTTTTCCCCTCCCCTCTTTTTTAAATCCCGAGCGTGTGTTGTCAGCTTGTGCAGGAGGCGTCTCTCCGGGCGCTGCAGCTCGGGTGCCCGGGTAGGCTGATGCCATTTGCCACCATCCCTGCAGCAAATTGTGGCACTTGTGAACCATTTCAAAGGGCAAACGAGAGCGCTGTCCTGGGCTGGCCCTTTCATTTCCCACTAATAATCCCTGATAAGTGCTTACTGAAGATATTACAGCCTCTTCCGGTGCCGAGAGAAACCAAGTGACCTTTCTCCAGCTTCCTTCTTCCTTTTTTGTTCAGCTTCCTATTTGCTTTGTTTCTTCACTCTCTGCCTCCCTCTCAAGTGGCTGCTGCTTTTCAGCAGCACTCAGGTGAGTCTGGAAAGTGGACAGGGGGATCCTTCAGGTTTGATTTTTAAAGTCCTACACTAAGAGTGAGAAAGGCAAGGGAGTTAGAGAAAGGAATCATTCTTGGTTTGGGGAAGAAAAACCAGCTCAAGAAATCATTGTTCTTATTTGCTTGTCAGTGGCATAATGACATTTCTTATTTGAGGTGAGTAAAGTGAATTTTGTGGTCTAATTTCATGTGAAAGCTCTTCAGCACTAGTCCAGGACTCATTGTTGTGACTGCAAATGCTTCAGACAATCTTGAAATATTCTCTTTGAAATTCCTATAAAAATCCTGAGGAGGAACTGTGATCACCAGGTCCTGCTTTGGGTTGGTTTACTCAACAAAGCTGATGTCCAGCATCTGCTGCCTTATGGCTTATGACACAGTATCTGCATGTGTGTGTTAAAAAGAAGTTCTGGTCAACTCGTGTTGGATGGAGAGGCCTTGCAGGCCAGGTACAGCTGGTGGCAGAGATGTGAATTCATAGCCAAGCTGGCCAGAAACCTTCTGTAGCTCCATGGGACAGGTGCTAGCCGCTTTGTGCCTCAGTTTCCCTGTCTGTAGAGTAATACTGATGCTTATTTTTGCCCTCAGGAGCAAAATATAAGAATATTGAGTGCACGGGAGGATTTGCAGAAAAGCAGATTGTTGTTTACCCCGTGCACTCGCCCTGCTCTCACCTCCTGTGGTTTCTGTGGGAACAGCAGGAGGATTTTCCTGTTTGGAGCAAACTCATTGCTCAAGGATATAGCCGAGGTAAATAGTTCAGCGTGATTCAAGGAAGAGAGAGATACAGCTCAGAGTAGGACCAGTCAAGCCACTTTGTGTGGGCCAAGGATGAAATGTCTGGGGCTGTTACACATCAGGATGGGAGGCAGATGGAAGGGATCTGGGAGCACAGCTGCACATCCACACAGGTGGGGATGGAAACAGCCAGGGCTGCTGTGGGGACAACAAGCACGAGGGGAGGCTCGGTCAGCGTGGGGTGGGCTGTCCCCACACCGAGGACTCTGCTCCTCGTTCCTCAGTCTCAGGAGTTTAATACCTTCTTCTCTTTCTTTGCAGGGTCCAAGATTCAACATCTGCTGCTTCTTCCCCCAATGCTGCTTCTGCCCCTGCTGCAACCCCTTCTTCTCCTGCTGCCCCATCTCAGCCTTCCACATCCAACAGCGCCGCTTCCGATGGAGGGAACGGCAGCAGACGGAGCAGTGGGTCGGGGACTGTGGGAGGTCCTGGAGATGGAGGCCCTAACAGTGCTACATCCATCCTGTGTAAGTGGTGGCTGTGGGAAGGTGTGACATGAAAGAAGGATTTCCCAGGGTTAATCCAAGGAGTTGGGGTTCTTGACCCCTGGAGTTGTCTCTGCTTGCTGTAGGTTTTGCATGAGTCACTTCCACCAGCGTACCTCGATTTCCTTACTCAGGATAATCCCCAAACCTTTTGGGAAGCATGTGTAGGGGGTGTCCTCCCTCAGAGCTGGCTGCTGTAGGAATATAGGATACCCCCAGATGAGCGTGGGTGCAGTTCAGCTGATCTGCTTGTCCTCTCTTTGCAGCTGCTGACAGTTACTGACTCACGCCTCTCCCTGTGTTTTGTTCTCTCTCCAGCTGGCTTTGGTGGCATCACTGGGCTGGGCAACCTAGGGATGGGCTCTGCCAACTTCATGGAGCTCCAGCAGCAGATGCAGCGGCAGCTGATGTCCAACCCAGAGATGCTTTCTCAGATCATGGAGAATCCCTTGGTGCAGAACATGATGTCTAACCCTGACCTCATGAGACAGATGATCATGGCCAATCCCCAGATGCAGCAGCTCATGGAGAGAAATCCGGAAATAAGCCACATGCTGAATAACCCGGAGCTCATGAGGCAGGTGAGTCAGCACACCAGGGCCTGTTTGTGGCCCAGCTTCAGTGTTTGTTCTCCAAAGGGAGCGTGTGAATGCCAGATCAGTGATTTTGGAGATCTCTTCCTTCCTGCTGTAAGCTCCCCACAAACAGATGGTGGTCTTGAGTTAAGTGAAGACTGATTACTCCACCCACGTACTTGCAACTCTTGTCTCCCGTTCAGGGCTATTGAATCCATCGTGTGTTGGGCAAAAAAGGATGCTGGGGTCATCCCAGCGTGCTGCGTACGGGGCTGATTCAGGAATGGGAGTGAAAGTAGTCATGGAGAAGTGAAGCTACTGCAGAAGCTTTTTGTTTCTCTCCATTTCTCTTGATAGATTAAGTATAGACTCCAGAGCTGTATGGTCAATATTTTACTACCTGTATCAGCAGAGTTGTAGGCTGGGATCCTAGAGATCTTGATTTTTGGTGCAATCCCAGAACAGGGAGGACCCGTGTCCTAGAGGACTGGCTATCTGGAGAACCGAAGGTTCATTGGAAGGGAAGTGGAAGGGATGAGCAAGAGCCTGAGTGTTAAACAGCCCTTGACAGGACGCTGCTGTTGCCCCAGGAAGTCTTGTCAGGAGATCTTTCTGGGCTGTTGCTGAATGAGCCGTTTCCATCTGCTTCTCAGTGATCTTTCTTTCAACTGTGTCAGCCATAGATGAAATGCCAGAGCTGCAGGACTACATTGTGAATGATCTGTACTTCAGCAGCTCCTCAAATGAGATCTGGATGTTCCTCCTGCAAGGGAGACCCATCAGAGGTCTGGAGAGGGTGAATTTCTTGGTTTTCTTGAAATGGGAAGGATCCAATCTCTTCCACCTTCTCGGTTTTTGAACGCAGTCCATCGACTTTGAGTGGGAACATATGGGTTTTAAATGTTTGGATGTCCTGATACTGCTTAGAAACAAAACAATCTCATTCAGCTGAATTGAGGTTGAGAAGGAAGAGAGCTGAGCAAGGATGGGAGGAGCCAGGATCCCTGGGCTCCTTGCTTGGATAAATGATCTCTCTGCTCTCTGGCTGTGAAACGGGTTTAATTATACTCCTTCTTCTGGGAGCTGAGATTTAACTCTTTCAGTGCTTGGCTGATAGATCAGTAGAAAACCACTGGGCTGCTAACCAATCTCTTGATCCACTCTGGTCTTCCATGGTGCACATGGGCCTGAGCTTTCCATGTTTTCCTCTTTCTCCCAGACAATGGAATTGGCTCGTAACCCTGCCATGATGCAGGAGATGATGCGGAACCAGGACCGTGCTTTGAGTAACCTCGAGAGCATTCCAGGAGGATACAACGCCCTGCGCCGGATGTACACGGACATCCAGGAGCCCATGTTTAGTGCAGCCAGGGAGCAGGTATTGGCCACGTTCCTGTCAGTGGGGTGTGACGTGCTGAGCATGGGGAAGGTCTTTCCCTGACCCCTATGCTAACGGGACTGCCTTCCCAAAGCATGGCTCTTCATCCCCTCCCACTCTAGATGAGGAATGCAGCAGGAGAACGTCATGCAGTGCCCGTCATCTCCTTTGTTCCATGCTTTGGTGTATCTGAGCAGAGACCTGCCTTGCTCCTGTGGTCTCCAGGCAGGCTGGATGCCAGCCATCACTGATGCAAAGGCCCCATAGCTTCGTTAGCGCAGCTCTCTGCTCTCAGCCTGGCTTACTGTATTAGCTCAAGCCTGACGCCTTTGGATTGGAGCTGGCTGAGATCCAGCTGGCTTGGAGCACAGGAGGAGTGAGCGCAGGTCTGTCTGCAAACGGCTGTGCAGACACACTCCAGTCTAACATTACCTACTGGTATGTCCGGGTGCTGATTTTACATGGGTGTTTTGAAGCCTTGCATTTGGGAGCCAGATCTAGGGCTGTGGCCACTTCTTGAGCCTGGTTTTTTTTCTGAGCGAGGTGTGTTGTGGATTATAGATTTCTCAGGAGGCAAATTCTGGACCTGGATGAATAGGATTGGCTGTTCCCTGGCTCGTACAGTGCTGGGGTTAGCCTGACGTTCTCTGCTGGGGCTAACTGATTACAACTAGTGCTTTTTTTCTTTTTCCCTAGTTTGGCAACAATCCTTTCTCTTCCTTGACGGGGAATTCTGATAACTCAAGCTCTCAGCCTTTGCGGACGGAGAACAGAGAGCCGTTACCGAACCCCTGGAGCCCCACGCCCCCTGCATCCCAGAGCCAGGCACCCAGCAGCGAAGGGAGCACTGGCTCGGCGACCACCCAAAGCACACCGACTGTGTCCAACCCCTTTGGGCTGAACGCTGCTAGCATTGGGGCTGGTACGTAAGCAAGAGAGGAATCAGAGGGTGCTACTGACTGAGCAGGTCACCCAGGCTTCCTTGGAGGGTGGTTCCATCTGGTATTTGAGTCCCTAGGCTGCTCTCTAGATCACAGCATCCCAGAATGGCCTGGATTGGAAAAGACCTTTAAACTCATTGAGTCCAACCATGAACCCAACACTGACAAGTCCCCTATGACTAACCCATGTCCCTCAGCACTGTGTCTACATGACTCTTCAGTCCCTCCAGGGATGGGGACTCCACCACTGCCCTGGGCAACCCCTTCCAATGCCTCAGAACCCTTTCAGCAAAGAAATTCTTCCTCACATCCCATCTCAACTGCCCTGGCCACAACTGGAGCCCATTTCCTCTTGTCCTGTCCCTTGGTCCTTGGTTGAACAGACCCACCCCCACCTCTCTGCACCCTCCTTTCAGGGACTTGGACAGAGCCAGAAGGTCTCCCCTCAGCCTCCTTTTCTCCAGGCTCAACACCCCCAGTTCCCTCAGCCACAAGGGAACTCAGCACACTTGTGCTCCAGACCCTTCCCCAGCTCCGTTGCCCTTCTCTGGACATGCTCCAGCACCTCCATGTCCTTCTTGGAGTGAGGGGCCCAAGAGGTTTTCCTTTGTCTTCTCTTCCCTTTCCCCTTGCAGGCATGTTTAACAGTCCAGAGATGCAAGGACTCCTGCAGCAGATTTCTGAAAACCCTCAGCTGATGCAGAACATGATCTCTGCCCCTTACATGCGGAGTATGATGCAAACTCTTGCCCAGAACCCGGACTTTGCAGCACAGGTAAACGTGTTGCTGTTGTCTTCTGTTGTCAGACAGGCTGTGACCGCAATGCTCCACTTCTAGAGTTGGAGTGGTTCCTTCTGCAGAAACCAGAGAGTTGAGTGAATATAGAGAGTTTTACTGTATTTCTCACTCACTTGCAGGCAGTCACAGCACTGAACCCTGTGTCATAGCAGGGCAACTAACAATAAAAAGGTGGCTTTCAAAGGGACATGGGAATGGCCTTTCTCTTTGCCTGTGGCCACGTGGTCCCTGTTCAACACTGCTGCCAGGAATTGAGCTGTCCTGTCTCAGTCCCCATTAGCAGGGGAACATGTTGAAAGCCCAAGGGAGGGAGTCAGGGGCATGACTGACTTGTTCTTTGTGGCTTAGTTATGTAGGATTTAACAGCCAGTGGCAGCAACCCTCTGACCCTACCTACGTGTGCTGTCTCTTGCTAGATCATGGTAAATGTCCCCCTCTTTGCTGGGAATCCACAGCTTCAAGAACAGCTCCGCCTTCAGCTCCCTGTCTTCCTGCAGCAGGTAAAGGCCTCTGTCTGGCCCTGTGCTGCTCTCAGCCCCCGGGCTCCAGAGCTTTTCCATCCTCTGGAGGAAAGGGAGTATCTCGGTGCTTAGTCAAGTGGACAAGGAAGCAGGTGGGCTTGGGTGGTTTGGGCTGTGAAAGAAAAGGGTTTGCACAGGGGAAAGAGGAAGGAAGAGCTTGTTTAGAGAAGGCAATCTAAATTAAGTAATCTAAATTACCTAAAGGTGGACTTCCAGTTAGACTAGTTAAGCTCCATGAAACCCCTGTGTCTCACTGTAACGAGTTTACAAAAATTAAAACAGCTAATTGCACTAGAGCAGCTGGCTCACTTGGGTAAACCTAATAAAATCCCTTTTATTCCAAAGGCACGTGCCCCTGGTTCCAATCTGATTCACCTAGTTCACTTAGGAAATTGGATCTAAACTCCACGAGTATCTCTGTGGATGAGCCCTGCAATCTGGAGGTGTGAGGGAGGAACCAGACTGGCGGGTTCGCTCTGGCTGCAGGGCGAGAGGCGCAGCTCTGTGCTGATTGTTGTTCAGATTTAAAGCCTGTGGGTCTCTGTCTGCCAGAGCTCTCGCTGTTTGGTACCGCTGTGTCTTTTTTGCCTTTGTTCCCAGATGCAGAACCCAGACTCCCTCTCCATTCTCACCAACCCCCGCGCCATGCAGGCGCTCCTCCAGATCCAGCAGGGACTCCAGACGCTGCAAACGGAGGCCCCAGGACTAGTGCCAAGGTAACAAACGCTTTAGAGTGGGTTTCTGCAGGCAGAGCTGACGTGCTCGATACCAGCAGGCAGACTAGCTGTTGATTCATCCAGGAGATCTGCTTCGGGCACTCTGTTGTGGGGACATGTGTGTGTGTGTGTGTGTGTGTGTGTGCCTGCAGGCCTCTGAGCTCCAGCTAATTAGCTCCCGAGTCACTCATTCTCTGTGAGCCTGAAATTCAGCATTCAAACCTGACCGGTCACTCTGGGGCCATGCTTCCTCCCCCACGGGACCTCCAGGTGCCCTCAATAAACACGGCAGCCTGGGGAAGGCAGCACCGGGACTGGCTGTTCCCCCCCCCCCCCCCCCCCGCCCCTTTTTTGTTTGTGGTATTTGGTATTGGCTGAACTTGAGAATTTTATCTCTGGAGAACAATATGAGATGCACAACCACAAGGTTGGGTGGGTAGGTTGGGGCAGACTGGTCTCCTCAGACCTCCTGCTCTCTGGCAGCGTGGGTCACACTTCCCCCCCCCCCCCCCCCCCGCCCCTTTTTTGTTTGTGGTATTTGGTATTGGCTGAACTTGAGAATTTTATCTCTGGAGAACAATATGAGATGCACAACCACAAGGTTGGGTGGGTAGGTTGGGGCAGACTGGTCTCCTCAGACCTCCTGCTCTCTGGCAGCGTGGGTCACACTCAGTTTCAGCAGTTCCTTTCAGGCCTG